GAGATAATTTTTCTCCACAATACTCGTTATGGCATCTGAAAATACTACTCTTCAAAATCCATTTTGAATCGTTCCAATATCCTCTCCTTGAAATCGTTTTTGAGTAGCATCAGGTGAAGATTCAACAAAAGTGTGTAGTATTCGACAAAAGGTTGGATTTCAGATTCGTTATCAGAGACCCCGAAAACCTGAAGAACCATTGAAAATTTAAGTTCACGAGATCAAAATTATATAAAAAAAAGGTATGAAGATATCTGAAGATTTATTCCCCTATATAATTACCAAAAATTCTTTCCATTAACTCAGATCCATTTTACGTTTTTACTAACTCCACTTTCAATTTGTTGCTGCAAACGCTTAACTGAAACAACAATTTTGTTCAAGATGTAAGGTACTTTCGATTTCTTCAATTTATGATGATGGTGATGTGACACATCGTTAACAGATTTTTCTGTTCCTTGGAAATGTTAAGGTTAAAATTATAAAAATATCGTTTTCGAGATATTGATTAACCAATTCAGAAGCCATTGAAAAACTCAGGGCAGTTTACTTTCACCCCATCTCCATTCAAGGATATACTGGCAATAGCTTCAGTTCCGAATAAAGATGAACTGAGGGCGCATGCGTCCTATTTGGTCTTCTTCTGTAAACAGTGCTGCCAGATTGGTTACAATATACTCTATCTAAGGATATTATCAAGACCTATTAATTAATGTAAGGAAATCAATCAACTTCAGTTAACAGTAAAAGGGTTACATTCAAGCAAACTTTAATTTTGAGAATCTTTTAAGAATTTTATGTTACCGATTTTTACTAAAAGTACTGAGTCCAATATTTGTTAAGATAGAATTCCAAGAAAAGAATAAGCCAAGAATGAGCCCATAAAGTTCTGTTATCCGAACTACTGTAACAATTTACTGCAACAGGGGCGTGCCTTGAAAATTTCCCCGTTATTTTCAGAATATTAAATATAAACACGATAGTCTTCGACTGGGAATTATGTTCCTTTCTTTTATTTTCACCTTCATTTATTTATTTTAATAAGAAATTACAATGAGAATGTACAGGAGGATACACTTACGAAGAAATACGCCTTCGTAATTGCAAAACATAGTATGCACTGCAACCTGCGATGGTGAACGCCACGCCGCCAATATTTTCTACCTCGGATGTCGAATGCGGTTAATTTCAAGAAAGTGACGCAGGGGTCTTCTTAGGATTTTATCTCAACAAATATTGTACGGATTGTACTTATCGTCGAATTTTATCTGTATTCCTTATTTTTATTGCATCTAATAATTTTATTGCTAGCTACCACCTATCACACAATATTACAAATATTTAGAATTACAATATTTACTCATTTGAACATTCTGACATGACCACCTTGCTATTGATAAATCTACATAAGGAATTGTCAACTTGAATACGTGGCAACACTGTGAAGGAGCTCGGTTTTCCTTTGTCCTTTGTCTCCCATCGACTTCGTATACGGAATTGGACTGTGTCAAAGGAAGGAGGGCGTGGTTTTTATTTTGGTAAGTTTCTATTACTGTCAGAACAAATAACAGCGAGCACGAAAATAATAAAAACATATTTTGCGAAAGTAGGCAGAGTTTAATAATACGTATTTTCATTCTCCTTTGTTTCCTATATTCTTGTTATATCAAAGACGTTGATGTACGTAGAAAAATTAAGGAGAATTAATTGGAACATCAAAGTTAATAATTAAAAAAATTTTTGGAATGCTAAATAAGAAATTTGGACAAAAGGCCGAAATAAGTAACTGTTTGCAAATGATATTCACTCCCTGACTTATTAAGAAAAATAGGTATTTTTGTAAATAATATCCAATGGTTCTTCAAATAGATACTGTTTGGAAAAAACAAGGGACGGCTTTACAAAGTTCTAAAAAAGGAATTTGTTAATAATCCGAAGGTAGATTGAAAGAAAATTTTGAAATTTGCAGGTCTACGGGACATTTAGTGGCATTGTCGAAAAAAATAAATTATCAAGAGTAATGCTACGATTATTTAAATAAAAAATAACAAATCGGTGTTTTCTGAATCGACTTGTCCAACTTTTGGAAGTAACACTGTTTGGAATAGGAGGCTTTGTACGTTGAAATGCCAGGATATAAACAATCGACAGTAAAATCTTTGTATTATGCTTTTTAACCTGGGTTTACTCAGGAACTTCATAAAACCTTCATATTGATTATATTTTATTGTGACCTAATATTTTGCTTTTTTACTGAGAAGTATCGAAAATTATCTCAAAACCATAATTAACAATAACCAAATACAAATAATAATTTTTATTTAAACAAATTTTGCAAAATGATCCAAGAAACACCAATTTATATGCTGCAAAACAATCAATTGAATAACGACGAAGAAAGTAATAACAGAATAAATATTAAACAGTTAGTCAAAAGTATGGAAACCCCCAAATATCTCAGCGGAAAAACGTTTTTAGGATAAATAGTGAGGACAAAAGTCTCGGTACTTTTCACGGCGCATGCGATGGTAACCTTGACCTTCAGGTCAAGGTCAAGGTTCAAGGTCATATCAAAATCAAGTCGGCCCCGGAAATGGAAAAAGCAGAAGGTTCTACATCCGAATATGACATTGACCATGACCTGAAGGTCAATTGTTAATGGTAAAGGTCAATACAAGATCAAATATTAGTATTACTAATGTATTATTAATGTATAACTAGAATTTTTTTATTTGTTCTTTATTATGTTTTTTTTTTGTTTTTATTATGTAATTTTTGTTATAGCCACAATTATTGTGTAAATTTAAATTAATTTAAGGTTAAGTGGAAAAGCAGTCTTTGGCTGATACTTCACCTTTTCATTGTACACTTCACTGACAATGAATAAAGACCATTTATTATTATTATTATTAAATGTTGATTTTTACTGATTTTTTACTACTGACTCAGAGCGAGTTACAGTCTTTGTATAGATACCTGATAGTACTCCTTAGTGACTTTCATCTTAAGGTCGTCGAAAGAACATGCCAAGATCATATCTATTTTTGAAGTCGCCAACCCCCTTATTTCGATGCTAGAATCGACGCTAGAATGGCGCTAGAAGTATGAGAGAGATAAGATTATGATCTTAAACGTGAGCTTAAAATCAATCATCAAGGTCAGGTAGATGTCAAGTGATTATTCCAGCTGTCATTTTTTATTTCCGACGAAGCAACAGAAGGAACTCGCAATTTTTTAGTGGTTGCAGAAGGTCGAGTAAGCCTATGAAATCCTAACCTTAAAACTGAAAGATAATACGACTATTGAAAGCGAGAGTAGGAAATAATCCGGCCATTGAAGGCAAGAGTGGGGAATGATTCGGCCATTCATGACAAAATCGAAGATCAAGGTCACTAAGGAGCACCATCAAGTATATATACTCAAAGACTGTCACGCCTTCTGATTCCGCAGTTAAAAATAAAAAATTACAGTCAACATTTGACCTTGACTGCAGAATTTTCTGCTCTTTCCATTTCCTTGGTCGAAAATGGGGGTCGCCATTAAAAAAAACAACTTGACCTTAATATGACCTTGAATCTTGACCTCAAGGTCAAGGTTACCATCGGATGCACCGTGAAAAATGCTGAGACTTGTCCTCACCGAATACTGGACTTCAAGGCCAGGACATAGCCATCCTAAGGAGCTTATGGAGTATCCTTCGAAGGGAAGAGCGGATGAGCTACTGAGCTTGAATAGAATCCGGCTCAGGAGAGTGACAGGACTCATAACGGGACACTGTCACTTTAGGAAACATCTACATAAGCTAAAGCTTGTAGACAGTCCAGTCTGCCGAGGATGTGAATCAGCGGATGAAACTTCTCTGCATATCCTGGGCGAGTGCCCGGGATTTGCACGTAGCAGAATGACGCTCCTTGGGAGACCCTATTTGGAACCCAAGGAATTGAGAGAAGTGTCAGCAAGTAAGCTTTTGGACTTTGTAAAAAGGACAAATCTACTTGCTGAATAGGACTAGTAGTGGGACGCACAATAGGCCTAATTAGGCCGCAGTGCTATGGGACTTTTTAAAGGACCAACCACTAGATGAAGATGAAGATGAAGAAGATATCCTCACCGATTATCCCAAAAATGCTTTCCCGCTAAGATTTTTAGGGGTTTCCATACTTTTGATTAACCCTGTATAATGTCTTATATCTCTATGAAAGATAGATGACCAAAAAACATTTATTCCTCGTGGCCACTCCCATAATCGTGGATTCTTATATTACATGTGGAAAGACATCTTTGATGATGATGGTTACTCCGATCGGACCACCCCCGCGCCCAGCGTTCGCAACCGTTCGTTACACTTTGAATGTTTAAATCCTGCTATATTATATTTTTCTAACATCTAGCGTTAATTTTTTTATTCCTTGAAGATTTCCAATGTTAAAATAGTAAGAAATTTCATTCTAGAGCTTTGCAGGGCCGTACCCCAACGTTGCCAATATTGTCCGTGCTCATTACCGTAGTACACTTTGATACATACCATTCAGGACCACCCTGTACACTTAAAACTAAATGCTATGTTTCAAAATCCTATGTAAATTATGCCTCTCCAAACACGACTCCTCCGTCGCACCCCCAACCCCATCCATCCCTGTCACCGGGCCGAAAGCAAACACAGCAACAGCCGATCATCACTCTGTTTACCCGTGTCGAAATGAAACCTGAACTGCCCATTATATATCAAATTTCGGTCTCGGATCGGGCCAGGCCGCGTAATGGAAAAACTCTCATCCGAAGGCATTCCTTTGTTTCGCGAAACTTTATTCGTCGGCTATCTCCCTCGGACGATCGGCGGCCCGTCTACTATCCCTGTCGTCGTAAAAATAACAAAAAAAGTAGCGGCGCTAGCGAAAATGTATCCTGAAAACGCTCCTAACCGGGAGGAAGAGGATCCTTGTGGCGGACACAGGTAAGAGCAGGACCGGACGCATATTTTGAAACACAGGACGCTAGAAGCATAGCTTTATAAAACGATGCCTCATTGGTCAATTCGTAATCGTACAGTGTTGGTTCTACGCCGGCGCCGCACGAGTAAGGTTTGTTTAGACCAAAACACTTAACCAAACTTCTTATCAATTTGCAAATCTTAAGCCGATTTGGCGCGTTTTATGTGTGTTCAGTGTTTTTACAAGTGAATATTATTCCTATTCACGTTCTGATAAAAACCATTTTATTACATAAAATACGCTGTGAGGCTCTATTTTATTCTAGATATTTATTAAGTTGTGATTATTCAATAATTATGAACTACGAGGATATTTTAAGTTTTACACGAATAAGTGGTTATCAGTGTGAATTAGAAGAAACCAACGAAAAATATTTTATTTTGCGTATAAATATTAATGATAGGAACGAAGCTGATAGTTATTTAAACTTGTTTGAAGCACATACATTAACGAAGTGGATAAGAAATGGGGAGTTGGCAAATCCAGAAAGGTATGTAAACATAAGTATTTAGGTACTCGAAACAGTATCCCGACTACTAATATTCTAAATATTTCTTTCGTATTACAGGGTCGTTTATCATAAATACTATATGTGCCAACATAGTGCTGTAAATAAGAAGTGTAGTGCTCATAAAACCGAATTTAACACAGGCTGTACTGCAAAACTAGATATAGTCATAAAAAAATGTACTCCGGCTACGAAAAGAAATGACAAATATTTGAAACTGAAACCAGCACTCTGTGGAAAAATTAAGATAGATATAATACATAACCATACTATAGGAACAAGTGGTTCTCTAAAATATTTGAAAATGTCTAATGAGGTAAGGTGTGATTTCTGTCACTTTGTTTATGATAAATATAGGTATTGTATGAATTTTATTTATAATTGAATTTATTTTTTGATATTGTAGACGAAGCAAATATTTGAACAGTATTTTGACAATGGAATGAGTGCTTCTGAGGCTTTTCGCTATCACGAAAGCATGTTAATGTTTAATGAGAAGCCATGGGAGAAGTTAGCAAATGCTTCAATTAATCCCACGAAAAATGTTGTATATTATCTACACAGGCAATGGACATTGAAAAATTATGGAGCAGTTTTTGAACCTATCCCAAAATTGCAAGAGAAACTTACGTTTTATGAAACGAGAGGTGAGTTTATATGCATACTGTAGTGGTTTTTAATACTGTTATATTGATTATTTAGAAAATAGTATGAAATTGTTCATTTCTTTGAGCTTCTCCCCATTGAGAAGTCAAGTTTTATATTTTTTTAATTCAATTATTAGTAAAACAATATCAAGTAATAAATATTATTTTTTAACAGGAATGAAAGTGGTATTGGCAACAAATCCTTGGGCAGTAGCAGTAGTTACTCCAATAATGCAAAGAGCGCAGCAGTTGAATTCTTCTAAAGAGATTATATTTTGTGATAGTACTTCCAGTTGCGACAGTACTGAAACTACTGTTACTATTTTGCTAACGGTTACCAAAGCAGGTGCTATTCCAATAGCTGTTCTTTTACATGATGGACAGTCTATAGCTAGTTATGAGCAGGCCTATGGTTTGTTAAAGAAAGCATTTCCCTATTGTTTTGGGGGGAATACGGTAAGCAAATATATTTTTTTAACAATCCAAGTATATAGGTACTCTGAAACTGAATAACTAAAAAATGAGTAACATTTATGAATGAAAAAAATTGCATAAAACCACAATGCAAATATATAATTAAAAATATGTTTGTGTTATCTGGAAATGATTAGATAAGAATGCAATGGTGTTTAGATGAATTACAGAAAAATTACTCATGTTGTGGAAATAATATATAATTTTTAATTTTTGACATTTTCTAGCAACCACTCAAAATCAAACTACACAACATACAAAAATAAGGAGAAAATATTAGAAATTTGTAAGTATCCAGTATGTGTGTCCAAAACTGGTGTTATTCATTATATAGGCATAGCATGCAGAACAGGTGGTTGGCTTTGTAGGGTGTGGTATTACTGTAACAAAAAATTGTGTTTTTTTATCAGGTACCTACTTTATAAAGTGTATGATTGGCTTTGTTTAATATTAGTACATATAAAACAATTTTGTTACACATGCCTTGTGTATCAAAAGAGTTAATAGTTAAATTTTCGGTGAATATTCTATAAAAATTGTAATAATTTGATACCATAATTTGAGCAATTGCTTAAAAAATCATAATGATAGAATGACTACATGGACATATATTCTTATATTAGGTTTGGGCTATTTCTGCAATAAAGTAACATTGTACAGGTATCATTTTGTCTGGTTGTGGTTAATAGAAATATTCATATTTAGTATGTTAGGTAATGGAAATTAAATTGTAGGAACCATCATGTTTTATGACAGATGACTCTAAAGCTGAAAAAGCTGCATTGGCAAATGCTTATCCACAATCAAGACAACTTCTCTGTTTTTTCCATGTTTTGCAAAAGGAATGGAGGTGGTTATGTGAAAAGAAAAATGGAATTCCATTAGAGAGGCGACAGTTTTTGATGAACTTGTTTCGTAAGGTGAGATTAGTTCTGTAGTTAATTTGGGGGTAGTGTAAATCTACAAGAGGTATATGTTTAAGTTTACAGTAGAATTACATTTATAAAACAATTTACAGCAGATGTATATGAGTACTTTAATGAACATACAATTTTACATACATTAGATGATATATGTATTTTTCTTTCATTTATAGGTTATGTATAGCGAAACAGAAGATGAATTGAATATGATGATACTGAACTTCAAACAGTCATCTCAAGATTTCCCTAATTTTATTAATCGTTTTGAAAAATTTTATTTGAGATCACACGAATGGTTATACGTTCACCGTAAAAACATTATCATTAGGGGTAATAACACCAACAATTATGCCGAAGCATCTATAAGAATATTAAAGGATATAATTCTCCACCGAACAAAAGGATACAATTGTGTGGCTTTAGTAGATTTTATTTGTTTTGTCTGGGAAGAATATTTCAAAATTAAATTGTTGGATTATGCACATGACAGGAGGAATAGTATTCGAAATAACTATTTAAAATTATGTTCAAGAATGGTATCTGTAAATCCAAGCGATTTGTGTGATTTGGGAAATAATTTGTATAAAATAAGTAGCACCAAAGACTCCTCGGTGCACTATACTATTGATGTAGAAGTAGGACTATGTAGTTGCCCTTCTGGCATAAATGGAGCTTTTTGCAAGCATCAGGCTTATCTACATAAGCAGTTGAATATACCTTTTGTAAATGCTCCTGCAGTTACTTGTGAGGAACGTAAATCTTTGGGAAAATTAGCATTAGGTCTCGAATGTCCTAGCGATGATTGGTTTATGGATTTAACTCATACGACTCATTCCTGTAATTCAGTTTCAAGTAGCCAAACGTTAGAATCGGATCATGTTAATCCGCAAGCAGCATATACGGAAGTAATTCTTAGCAACTCGCCTGATGAAGAAAAGCGAAACAAGGATGATGCCATTTTACAGCTGTCATTGGAATTAGATAGAGTTAAAGCACTTGCCAGTGAAGTACCTAGTACTTTGATACAGAAGTTTACCAAGAAACTACAGAAAATGAAAAATTTCCAACAGTTATACTCAGCACTTAACGTTCCAACCAAAACTTCGATTAGGAAACAGTCAAAAATTAAAGTTCAGCCTACAGCTATATCCAGAAGAAGGCCAGGAGTAACTCGTGGTAGTACTAGGATACCATCAGGAAGACCATTCAGTGGCGTGAAGAATAAAGTAAAAAGGAAGCATAATATAAAATTGAATATCTTGGCAAATCAATCGAATGCTGTACTTCATGGTCGTGCTCATTAGTATAAATAAAAACTTTGACCTAAACAAGTTCTAAATAAATATGGAAACAGTTCATGGAGCACGTGATTAGTAAAAAATAAATGGATATATCAAAGAAGTTCATAAAAAGTAAGTGGCAAATGGACATTACTACTTAGATGTTACTAATTTTTTTTTTTATATGTATTACACCATCGATGGCCAAACTTAAAACTCCAATCCTGTTCTATTAAATGCACGGTGGTTGCAAAGAATTCAGACTACTACCCCAAGATACAAACCTTTTTCATATCGAAAAAATGTAGAACACAGAAAAGACATCAAAAATAAATAGTCTTGACAATGGCACATAATATTTTGTCCAAGCATGGTAAAACCTAATTTTAATTTGAATAAAGAAGAAACTATGAGGCAGAACATTTGGAAAAAAGTACTATGTATATATATTATGTATTATTTCTACATTATTAGGCAAATAAATGTCAAATGAAATTAAAAAAAAATGAGAATATTGTACATAATCTAGTAACATCTTTTCATTTAGCTTTTTAGCACTCCAGAAGACAGTAGCAGAGGGACTACCGAAACGTCAGCGAGTTCAGGCCCATTTCCATAAGATAAATAAGCGAAAAAAATTTTGAAGATATGTATGAATATACCTAGAGTGCAATATAGAATGGGAATAGAATTATTATTGTACCTATATTTAGTATATGTATTTGTTACTGTATACAGTCTGTGTCACGATAGAAAATTTATTTTGATATTCGACAGCAAGAACGGGGTTGATTACTTAAAAAACTTTTATCACGAAATATTAAATTTGAAATTTGTTATTTATGTCATAATGTCACATTATTTATCATTGTGAATTTATTTTTGAGAAGAATAGAGGTATTTTGAGTTTGCATTACTTTTTTGGACATTTTAAAAGTTTCATTCTTTTATTTTGTAGGTAGATATTTTTATGGCGGATGTGCCAGCATAAAATGAATTTATATAAAAATAAAATTGTTTGTCAAAATAAATTTTCTATCGTGAAATGGAGTTTATCTATTATTCTATATTATATTTATCTAATTATTATATATTACAATTATTAGATTAATTATTTATCTAATTGCTTTTTATTTCATATAAATTTGTGTATATCTAAATAATTATCTCGTAAGTTTCTTCCAGGTTGCTCTTATAAGTAGTAATTAAACGTGGCGATTAAAAAATAAAATGTTACACAAAAATTCACTATTTTAATTTATACAATATTTATAAGCAATGTTTCCTTATTCCTAATCCTAATCTATCTAATTTAATAAAATACTGACAATTAGTTATCGTAATCATAGGTAAGTAGGTACATTTTTAAAATTATTTATAAAAAAAAATAAATACTTAGGTACAAATTTAAATAGGACAATAAAAAACATTTCAGTTATTGCCACTGTCTCAAATGTCGATTGAATAATTTATACTCTTGAAGTTAAATCATTAAAGTATTTTTGACAATATATAGTCATTTATTTACATATTAATGGTTTTTTAATTCTGGCTAGAGTACTTTACATTCTAATTACATACAACTCCTATGGACAGTTACGCAATACGTGTGAATTACTCATTAATGCATTTAAAACTCCCGCCACTAATCCGAATTCCGAAACAACCAATGACGGCTCGCTATTTAGTCTAATGCTTCTAGCGTCCTGTGTTTCAAAATATGCGGACCGGACCAGCCAAGCTGGAGCTGTTACCTCACTTTGAAATCTAGGGAAAAGGAGCAATTATCAAATAGTGAGTCATTCATACAATGCAGGGTAGGACTTTGTTTTCATACAACAACGTAAAAAGTATACTTTTTTGTAGAAGCACAATTTTGACTCAACAACAATGCATGGGCATGGGTAAAACAGAATCCAAAAGGGGGCAAACTTAAAATATCATAATGTATAATATTCTGTTAAGTCTTAAGGTCCGTGATTAAATCGTACATAAATTAAAAAAGCAGGAATTGACTCGGGACACCGCGCTGGTGTTATATTAAAGAAAATTAAGTTCAAAATGATTTTCCCATATCTATAGCACGCAGAGGCAATGGTAACATATTTAAAATATTTTAGATTAAATCATTGATACATTTTTACACTGTACCTCATAAAAGAATTTCCCAATCGAATATCAAACTACATTTTTCAAAAACTGGATCCCACAGTTCAAAAATTACTACGTGAAGAGAAATTTTTGATATTTGCACATAGTTTAATATCAAATATTCTTTGTCGCTTCAGTAATGATACAACGCTACAAACATGCTTAAACAATTAACAATTCTATTAGGAAAACACGAATTTTTTTAAATCTCGAGTTAGTGGCAGTATCCGAATCCGAGGTCCGTTTGACCTTGTCAGGTCAGGTTAAAGGTCATTTCAAGGTTAAACCGAGACAAATCCCCTATGGTGAATGCAACCATTGTTATTATATGTTTTTGAGGTCGCTAAGTCCGAATCCGAGGTCCCTTTGACCTTGTCAAGTCAGGTTAAAGGTCATTTCAAGGTCAAACGAAGAAGCGAATCATTCTACACATCTCCTTTCGGAGCAGTTGTCATCGTTTCCAGTATCCTTCATGGTAGCAGGATTGTAAAGGCTCTATTAGAACCATCATAGAAGTGACGCTTTTACTTAGAATAATTATTTTAATGATTAAAATTTGATGATTTTAATGGCTTGTCAGTAAAGATATTTTATGTCCATTAATGCAGAGATATTCGGGCAGTCTACATGTAACAATTTCATTATGTACGGTTATAAAAAAATTTATCATTAATGGAATATCATTATTCACCATATAATACAAAACGAATATTACTATATTGTTGACATGTACCATATAACGCACTCAACTGTCTACCAAAATTTTTCCTCAACTTCAAGCACGGCAACTATCCATACCAGAACCTTTCTTACCGCGAAGGATGCAACAAGATCAAATGGAGTCCTAATAAAGCGACCAAAAAAAACTGGAATATTCCCACTAAACCTTAGTTACTTAGTTAACCTCAAAATGACATTGATTTTGACCCGGTAGAGACAAAAGGAACCCTATTTTGGACTCAGCGACCCGAAAAAACATTTAATTACTTTGGTTGCTCCCGCTATAGTGGATTTTTCTCAGTTCTCAGCATGGAATGACCTTGAACCTGACTTAGCAAGGCCAAACAGACATCGGAGTCGAACTCAGCGTCCCTAAAAACATTTAATAACCTCCACCATAGGGGATTTTTCTCGGTTTGATCTTGAAATGACCTTTAACTTGACCTGACAAGGTCAAGCGGACCTCAGATTCGGACTCAGCGACCCTAAAAATATATAATAACTATGGTTGCCTCCACCATAGGGGATTTTTCTCGGTTTGATCTTGAAATGACCTTTAACTTGACCTGACAAGGTCAAGCGGACCTCAGATTCGGACTCAGCGACCCTAAAAATATATAATAACTATGGTTGCCTCCACCATAGGGGATTTTTCTTGGTTTGACCTTGAAATGACCTTTAACCTGACCTAACAAGTCAAACGGACTTCAGATTCGAACCCAGCGATCTCGAAAACATAAGGATATAGTGTCTAGTCCGTTACACAGATTTTTTTTTAAGGAGCTGTGTACTTTTATCAGTGGAACCGAATAAAAACATGTTGTCAGGAAGGAGAAGAAGAAAAAGGAAGAATTAAGAAATTCTAGACTTATTCCCAGCAAATCGCTCAGGCAATATGAATCTGCTTACAAAGACTGCTTACAGAGAATACTAAACAAATAAATATTGTAACAAATTGGAAATACACAAAAAAATTATCACAATGGAAATATTACCTGACCGAACTTTAGATCAAAAATAAAATTAATTAAAATATAGTAGACAATAAAATAGCATAAAATTGTTAATACAAAGACTCTGAATATAAAATAAGTATCAAATAAGAATATCATATAGTATAAAGGAGATAATTTTAAATTTAACTCATAAGTGCAAAAATAATTTGAAAAAAAAAA